CTAGGGGGCATAATATTGATTCAATATCAATGCACCATCTCCATGGTCTCCTCCTCTTCTTATTTCTTCAATTAGTCCAGCTGCAACTTATATCATACTCTAGTTGGCATGCAGGCCTAAATGTAATTAGACTCGCAGGCCCATAACAATAATAATAACAATAACAGGTTTGTAGGTCCAAAATAATAAAGAACTCGCAGGTCCACAAAATGATAAGATTAAAAATCAACCATTCAACACATCTATATGTCAAGTCCATAATCATCCACTAATAATGCATTTATCACATAAATGTATTCTTATATAATATCTAATATTATATGCAAACATATTTCAAGTTTCTAGCAATTAAGGTCGTCTAAACTCTTTTAGACAAATGAATCGAAACAATTAAATAATTAATCAATCATATTAATCAATTAATTTAATGGGTATATTTAATTAAAATCAATTTTTAATTAAACATCGAATTAGAGTCCAACTCCAATTCCACAATTATAAGGTGTGACCATTTAATTAAAATCACATTTCAATTAAATATCAAATCAGAGTCCAACTCTAATTTCAAAATTTAAGGCAGTTAAATTTAATTAAAATAAAATTTTAATTAAATAGCAAAATTAGAGTCCAACTCTAAATCTAAGATTTTTAGGGCGAACCCGTTTAATTAAAATCAAATTTTAATTAAACACCAAATTAGATTCTAACTCTAATTTAAAGAAAAGTTTAGGGTAAAACAATTTAATTAAAATCAAATTTTAATTAAACGTCAAATTAAAATCCAATTCTAATTTCTAAAATATATTCGGGTAAAAAATTAATTAAAATCGAATTTTAACTAAGTCCTAAATTAGAGTCTAACTCTAATTTAAATTGAATCAATATTTTAAACTAGGATAACACTTCTAAATAAAATAAAATTCAATTGGGGTCAAAGTTTAATATTTAAATTAAAATCCAATTTTAACGAAAATATAAAATGTCGTCAATTTTTAAATAAGATTTTAATTTGGGTCAAAATTAAAACTCTAGTCAAAATAGATCAAAACCCATTTAAAACAATTTTAAAACCTTTTCAAAATTGCATTTAAAAACCTCACTTGAAAAATTGCACTTTGACCCAAGATTAAAATTATAAGCAAACCCTTCCAATTTAACAAATCGAATAATAGGTCCTTATATCAAAATTTGCTAATTGACCCCCTCTTCCATAATTGCAACCAGGGGTTTGCAATTTCCTAAATTGCAGCTAAGGCCCCCGTCTCTATTCACATTCACCCGACTGTAAACCCTAAAAAAAATCTCTTTTCTTTTCTTTTTATTTACTTGATCCTTGGACAACACCATTGCAGTAGGCTGCTGCTGATCGTCGGCTGCCGCCGCTGCAACTTGCAGCGACGGGCAGCAGCCATTGCCAGTGGAAACTGTTGCCATTAACATCCCACCTTTATATACCTTTTTTTATTTTACCCAAAATTAATTTTTCTTTTCAAAACTGGTTTTAGAAACAAGGAAAATCAATTTACTTAAAAGCTAGAAACAAGAAAACATCAAAACAATCAACTTTTGATTATTCAAAAATTCAAGACAATTTCTAACAAACACCAAGTAGGCTCTGATACCACTGTTAGAAATTTATTTATCATGCGCAGCGGAAATAAAAACAATTTTCGATTCCCACCAAAAATCGTCTTTGTGTTTGGATAGAATTTGTGATAAAAGTCATACATTTTTCTACATCGGCAAACTCCTTTACCATATCTCTGTTTCAACAACTTGGATCTGTCTCCCACAACTGTCCAATTGTCCAGCCTCCAACGATGATCCACACAGAGAACAAGATTGTAGGATTAGGGTTTTCTTCTTGTGTTAGCAAGAATAGTGAATTCTCTACAAAATTGTAAACCCTAATCACTTATTTATATGAGCCCCAACGGGCTTGGCCTGACTCGATCCAATATTTAATTAATCCATTAATTAAATCTGGTCATTGAATTAATTAATCCAATTAATTAATTTGGGCCTATAAATAACCAACCCAATTAATTAATTCATCTCACGATTGTTAAATTAATTAATTGACAAATTCTATTCTTCTAATTCTCTTTTGTGTGCGACCCATTAGGTTCCCGACCACGATGCCTAACGACGTGAAATATTATTTTGATCTAATCAAAATTGATAAATTAAAACACCTTTTTAATTTATCACCAATTCACACTCGTCGTCCCAAATTGACATCTAGCAATGTGTCAGGGCAATACATGTGACGGAAAATGTCACGTAGTATGACCAAACTTGTTCGTTTATCGTGAAACTATAATCCCTTCGTCAATATGATCCGATCAATTACAAGATATGGAAGCGTATCAATTTAGATTATTGATCATATCTTTCACTCCACTATTAATTCAATATAAGTGGAAAACTCCTTTTCGACTTATGAGTACACCTTGGCCAAGGATTTCGTTATAGACTTAATTGAATGAAACGCAGATCATAATCTCTTACTATCTAAAAGTGACCAATTTTCTATTGGTCATTCACAACCTTCATACAATTCTTGACATACCCGAACGATGTCGTATTAGTGACCCTTGGCAGAGCAACATCCAACACCGTCAAAGCATGACTATCCTCATATAAGATACTATGACGACCTCAAGTCAAAGGACCAATCCCACTACCGAACATTAGAGATTAACCACTGACACTCAGATAGTTATCCATATGGAATCTCTAGGTGGGTCTCCAATGTTTTGTTCTATAACAAAACATCTATGTGTTCATTTAAGTGTCACAACACTTTAACTTATGAGATCGGCTACTAACTTCACAAGTAATAAATGCGACGCGTAATGGTCTATCCGTAATAACGATCACTTCACAAGTAAGAAATGACACACGTGATGATCTATCCGTAATAACAATATCCGTATCTCGTTATTACTTATGACCACGGACAATTTAAGATTCAATCATATGTAATTTGTATCTCACAATCACAACTCCTTGTGATTAACAAATTACGAAGATTTAAACCTACGGATTCTATTATTTAATTTAATTGTCTATTAATTAAATAATAAATCTGCTATTACATTGAATTAATTATATATCAAAAGTATTTATGTTCAAAGTTGATTGGATTTAGGGTATAACACTTACACCAGCCTCTCTCCACTGGCAAGATTGCAGTCATTGGTGCCTTCTAGGTGTCCCGGATATGTGGAATGAACTTCTCTTTGCAGTTTTCCTCAAACGAGAATTTACTCGCGGACTAAATTTGACAAAATCGTCTCATTCTCCAACTTGATAGGTTTAAGGGGTCTTCTTCAACTAAAGCAGCATCTTACATTATGTAGTAATGCTTTTTTATTCCTCTTAACTTGGAAAATTTGAACACCCGAAGCTACTGCCCTGCGAACATTCTTAACATCGAGTGAAGATTACATTGACATCAACCTAATGATTTGCTCTGTACGTACAATTGAGGCGAGGGAAATTGCAAGACTTGATGATTGAACTATACATCACGAAGAAGGCCAAGGAACATACGTACACATAATGCTATGATTCAACGCGATCTGGAAATTTATTTGTTTGGTTATTTATCATGGAATTCGAGATGCATATATTTCAAGTCTCCAGCATTGATGATCACATTGTTTCGTTTTGTTCTAATCTGAGGTGGATATTAGTGATGATTCACGTACAGAAAATTCTTTTACACACACCTTACAGAATACACACAGCATGGGGTGGGTGGGTAATTTTTTTGGATTATTTTACTCACATGGAGCCCACTTCCCATGTGAATGTCTATAATTCTTCTGTCAAGGACACACAGAATTTTCCGGTGGATATACTTGAATACAGAATGTAAATGACAGACAGAAACAAACAATATACAAGGTTTTCGATTCTATCATTTGGCTGTTTCATAGATTTTTACTGATGTTTATTTTTCAGTTTTGGTACATATCAATAATTTGTACAGACAAAAGAGAAAATGTCATTTATGCCATTGTGCTCCAAAGTAGTTTTCTTGTCATTCTCATCATAGTACAGTTATTCTTAAAAGTTGTGCATGTTATTGTTTGTTGAAAGCAAAAATTGAGTAAATACCAATTTTAAGTTTTTAGATGAGGCAGTTCAACAATTTAAACCCAAGGAAAAAACCCAATTCCCAGTAAACATAAATTAGCACACCCATGCATTGCACAGGTTGCAACTTATAATCAGATTCTTGAAAAACTTGGAAGTGCCGAAAAGAAAACATTAAATGAACAATCCTCATATTCCTTGGTTTTCTCACCATTTTGGAGCATATCAATGGCCATTATTGATGGATTACATGTGTTAGAACATCATACTGGAAAAACATAAAATAAATCAAATTCATTAAGATACAAGAGCAGAGGGAATTCGGTTTTCTTGAGAATATGTCCTAAAGGAGATATGACTTGGAACTATCGAACAATTATAGAAAAGCTATTCGACGAGTTCTAGTCAGTACTCGAACTCGTTGAACACATACATTTAACAAGTTAAGAACAATAGCATTTTGATAAATTCTATTTTATCCACCAAAAGGATTATAGGGTACATTATGACATGTGTAGATATTTTGAGTTTGAGTCTTTGCTTGTCACAACCACCAATTTATACATGAAAAATTGTTCATGTGCTAAGCCGTAAAAATAAATTCGGTTTAAGTAATAAATTTGTCGTCTATCTAACAACTTAAAACTTTTAATTGAAATGGTTTCATAGCTTGAATGTGCACACTTTGGTTTTGCATAGTGCACAGTAGATGTTTTATATGTTGAATGTTTATCGATTGAGACAAAATTATATTTCTAGATTGTGGAGAACAGTTTGCAGGCCGGGATGAAATAACATAATCTTTAATAGAATCAGCAAAGGCGTTTTTAGAATAACTATGGAGCGCGTGATCATGAAATATAGTATTTCGACAACTTTATAACTTTTGATATTTATATTAAATCACTTATATTGTTGACCTGTTAAACAAAATGTAGAAGCTATTAATGAATATTACGATTTCATGTAAACAATACCAGTTGTCATACAGTTTTATTTAAAAATAATAAACTTATCTGCACTACAAGTGCTTGTTTGATAGGAATTTTGTTAATTGATTTTTTAACCGTTAGAGATAAAGTAAGTTCTATCTGTGAGAAAAGAATTCAAAAAGACGGGTGAAATAGTGAAATAACGGTCAAAAAATTAATTTTAATTGGATTTTAAATTGTACCAAACATGCTATTAATCTAAAGAAAAAAACCAATATCATTATGTGGGGACATTTTCTTTGACCCGGTAACCTTTTTGTTCTTTAGCTTTCTTCTCTGCGTTTCCTCTGCTTGGCTTCAAGATTTCGAATGATTTTTAAACTTACCATATTTTTTGGGTTTCAAAAACCCCATCTTGGTATCATATGGTTATGTTTTCTTGATTCGTGTACAAGTATTTGTTAATTTCTTTGATTTTTTCTTTGTCTATTTGGATTTCTGATTTTGTTGTTCTTTTTAGGGGCAATTATTTTTTATTTAAGCATAGTAGAACCTCTATAAATTGAAAAATATAATTGAGTGATATATCTTAACTGTGATTCCTAATCAAAGTTTCGAATTTTTTTTATCATAAATATCCTTTAAGTCGAATTTTATTTAGAAAATCTTTTTTTTTTTTTTTAATAAATGTTTTCTAGAGTTTTCAAGGAGTACTAGTTTGGTGGAAACTTTAATGTTTTAAAAGTTTTGTGTACAAATTAGTTATATATGTCGATATTTAACTCGTTTAAAGTGTATCTTTTGAGACAAAAATCCTTGTATTTCCTAGAAAATTAGTAGTAGAAAAGTATCGTAGTCCAAAGAAATGTGACTATCCAGTTTAAGAGTTTGTTCCATGTTCGCACGCAAATTTTTTTGGAAATGAATAATGAAGATTCCTTATGACTAGAAATGCAAGTCTTTTGATTTTTCTTCAAAAGGGCAAGTGAAAATTTAAGCAGTCTGTCATATGTTACTTCGATTAGAGTACATGTTAGCGATGTTCTCAATTACCGGGCTTTTCCATAATCAAATCATTTTGGTAAATTGTACGATAAGTCAAACATTAAAGAGACTAAGCCATGTTTGGTATATTTTTTATAACTCGTTTTTTTAATTCATTTTTAAATTTCAACCACACATTCTCCAAATAAATCACTTTTCACGAGATCTAATCAAACAAAATTTACATCAAACATGTGTAAAAATACATTAGGAAAAAAAGGAAAAAATAAAACTTTCAATAACAAGATTTGGAGAGAATCAAGTTACTAATAGATAGTTGACGATACATGACACTTTATTGAGAAGCACTTGTGAGAGTGCTTACAAATCAATTATCAAAAGGGTATTGCTCATACCTAACACTACAATCATACAGCTGTGCTCGAGCTCCGATCCGCCCATCACAAGACCCCAACATGGCAGTTTTGGCTGCGCCAAGGCAGACCTTGCAGTCTGATCTAGTCAAATATGTGCTACATGTAGCATGCCCATAGGCAAATGCATTTGGATAAGGCGAAATATTGTAGAAATCATAGCCTTCACGGGTGGGCGTGGTAGACTCCAATTCAGCAAGAATATAGGCTAGACTAATAGTAAATGGATCGCCTTTCGAGTATGAATTACTGTTGCACTGCACCAATTTGACTCGAGTGTTTGGTGCACTCGATACCACGAAACAAAAAGTGAGCAATAAAATTGACAATTTAAGTAGGTTTTGGGTGATCATCGTCTTTGGTGGAAGAAGAAGATCCATTTGCAGACTTCTTTTTTTCAAGAAAATGGGGTTTCAATTATTGTGGAACTAAGCGTGCTAGTGCATATATAGGATTCTTCGCCAATTATGAGAATTTCATTTGTTTGTTCTTGTTTCATATGTTTTGTCATTGTTATAGGAAATGAATATGATACAAGAAGTGGATAAAATAATTGTAGAAAATTTAGAGTGTGATTGGCTAAGCTTACGTGCCCATCTTTTAGGAAAGTAAGCTTAGCCAATCATGTTCAAGTAGATGGTAAAAAGTTAAAACAATGATTGGTCGCAAATTTATTTTATTTTTGGAGTAATGCTGTGCAGCTCAATTAGTGTTTTAATTATTCCCGTCTATGCTTTCTACTTTAATATTTGTTTCACTTTAATTGCCGAATGTTAATTTATTACCATTAGTAACAATGTTGTTCATTGCAGAGATCGTCCACTTGATTTATCATCAAATTAAAGAAGTTTTCAAGAGTTACTTCTCCAATACAGAAAATCCAAGATAATTTAACGTATCAAAATTTTAAGATTAACTATTAGGGTAATGTGGTGATCAATGTGAAACAAGTTTAAAGCTTAGTGACTAATTTGAAACAAATTAAAGTGTAGTGATAACAAAACTTAAACCTTTTTTTGAGAATTAAGCTTAGCTAATAATGCTCCTTGTTAGGGTCGGACATTGTTTGGTTTTTGGGTGTTTAGTAAGTGGAATCGTCAG